CGTTTTTCGACGATGTACGTGATCTCCATCCATAATTTATCGCTTCCTTTGACCAATATATTATCAGTTCTCTACCTCGCGCGGTGTCTCATCCCATGGGCAGCGTGACCGTCGCACCACAGCACCCCGTCAACGCACCCTCCTCAGTCGCTTACCTTCCTTCTGGCGCCGCCGCGGACGACATGAATCAAACACCGAGTTGCAAGAGCCACCAGTAGTCGACGTCCCGTTTACAGCGGGAAAGCCTGTGCGTTTTTTTTTGCTTCTAGGTTCTTTATCACTAACACATTCTGACGCAGAGGAACTATCACGCAAGAGGGAAGACGGCTGCCAGCTCCTCTCGACCTCCCAATACTCATGTCATGCAGAAACCACCCACCACTGCCACGGGACCCACAAACACTTTTTTCAGTCGCCGCGGTGCCAAGTGGGACGCCCACGCGTCCTGATATAATCATTGGACAGGCTGCATGGCGGGCTCGATTCATGCTCTGGGTTTGCTGCGTGCCTCTTCAGCACACAGACGGTCAACACTAGGAGGCGACTCGGCGACCTTCGTGCACAAATTGGCAATATGTCCGTTGTTGGAACATTAAGAGATCCTACCACCATTTGCAGGCTAGTTAGAGAGGAACGGGACCAGTTGTCATACCCCATTATTTCATTAACCCGGAACCGAAACTCGCACCGCAGTAAACAGGTTATTTAAAGGTAACACTGCATATTGGGCGCAATGCTGCGTAACGCCCCCACTTCGTGGAGCTATGTGAAATTGCCGGTGTAATAAAAAGGCCCCCGAGTCAAGACAGTTGACGCTCGACGCAAGGCTAACAGTACCAGTGACCGTCAGCATCTGTATCAGTGGCGATTTCAAGCACGAGTACTAGTATTCGCCACTACTACTCCTTGGTCTTTCGTTTGCCAGCTAACAAACTTCAAGCTATCATGTCACAGCGATCTTGGGTCAGTCCCGGTGTGGCCTACCTCACACGGGGTTTGCTTTTCGTTGTCGTTCCAGCAACCTCTTTCGTCGTGATCGTAGTACGCCTGGCCTCTCTAAACGGCTTTCGGATCTCTCCATGGCTTATGTCTGCGATGGTTTTGAGTGCAGCGCCTCTGGGGTTCGCGGCTTACGTTCTTGCGGATGGCAGATTGCAGCAACGAAAGGCAGATCGACTGGGTGCCAGACTCATCCCACGTGTCCAGGGCAGATGGCCTGGAAATCTGGATAAGATTATGAACATGGTCCTGACGTCCGAGAACGAATACCTTGGTTCAGTTTCCATCATTCTTTACAGAATCGTACTGATATCCACTGGTAGGTCAAGATGAACTGAACGAGATAAAGATACTCGGGCCGACTATTAATCTTCGTTTTTTGTGGGAGGACATTATCTTGACCGCGGAGCCGCAACACATCAAGGTACGCTCCAAGGCATACTTGAAGATATTATAATCAGACTCCACATAGACCATTCTCGCGACCGACTTTGATAACTATGTTAAAGGTGTGCACCATAGATGCTGTTTGTTTACACGTACACATGTGCTTCGATGCAGGTCCCAAGCTCAGAGAAGCTGCCGACTCCGTCCTTGGAACAGGCGTATTTAACTCTGATGGTAGGCGTGCATCGACAAGCGAGTTATGTTGCGACTGATTGATTGATTGGCTATGCCACCAGGTGAAACATGGAAGTGAGTGATCGATTTGAAGATTGCCTCTGATAGGGAATCTTAGGTGCTTCTAGGCTTCACCGAACCATGACACGACCTTTCTTCACTCATGATCGAATAAGTCACTTTGAGATCTTTGACCGTCATGCGGACTATGCTATCGCTTTGGCGAAGGGACGTTTTCGAATGGGCTTGGCAATTGACTTCCAAGTACGGCTCCATCAAGCTGGTATTTTGTCTTCTTTTGTTGAAACCTACCGCAGGATCTCATCTCTAGATTTACGCTTGACTCGGCATCGGAGTTTCTATTTGGACACTGTATCGATACACTTTCCGCTGGACTCCCTTACCCATGTAACGCGACAGAATGCACAGACGCCATTCAAGAAGCCAACACGGCTGCCGCCTTCGCAGATGCTTTCTCTCAAGCTCAGCATGTAATCAATCGTCGTGTTTCAATCGGGCAGACCTGGCCACTTGCTGAGATTCTTGCTGACAGCACTGCACAACACATGAAAGTGGTACATGCATTTTTAGATCCGATCCTCAAAGAGGCTCTGGAGAAGCGTTCAACGACTGCCGAATTAAACCGAACTGAATTTGCGGACCAAACCCTTCTGGACCATCTCGTAAATGCTACGTCTGGTAAGATATCATGTAACAACGGAATTTTTTGTTGTTGAAATATTCTTTACAGATTTCAAAATCATTAAAGATGAGACGTTGAATATATTGCAGGCTGGAAGAGATACTGTAAGCTTGCAATCGACTTTGAGCCGTCCGGATCGGTAACGAACAATAATTATTAGACAGCCTCGACATTAACATCGGCTATTTATCTGCTCGCGATGCATCCAGAGTTCCTTACTCGACTCAGGGAGGAAATCGTATCAAAGTTTGGGCTAACTCGCAGGCCCACATACGATGATATCAAAGAGATGAAGTACCTTCGGGCAGTCCTAAATGGTGCGTACTCTTGTTTCGTGTCGCTTGTCGATGTTGCTAACCGACTTCAGAAACAATGCGCCTTTTCCCCGCAGTGTAAGTGATTAAAGCTGGGTTTAGAAGTATTTCATCATCGTACCACAAACACCTAGCCCCTTTAATACGAGGTACGTTCTTAGGCTGCGCCGAAGATCATAGGCTAGAGCTACCTGCTCAGGGAAAGCGTACATGACACCACATGGACATCTCCCGAACCTGGGAAGAAGCCACTGTTTGTCCCAGGGGGGATCTCGTACGTATCTCATTCGTTCGGATTCATAGTATGACTGCTTGAATAATTTCAGGATCTGGTATTCAGTGTTCCTTATGCACAGGAGAACGGATCTATGGGGACCAGATGGTAAGGAACTTGAACTTCGTCTACATATCAATTAATTCAGTCGAATCCATGCTCTAGCGCTGGAGTTCGATCCGGATCGATGGCTCGACGAGCGCGTGAATAAATACCTGATTCCCAATCCCTACATTTTCCTACCATTTAATGCAGGACCCAGAATCTGCTTAGGGCAACAAGTACGTCGTTCATCACATCATTCATTACCAACACTCATCTCATACCTCATCTCGCACTTCAGTTTGCGTACAACGAAATGTCGTTCATGCTGATTCGCTTACTGCAAAACTTTTCCGCGATTACGCTGTCACCAGAGCCCGCAATGCGCCCACCTGCGTGGTGGGCTGAGAAAGACGGTCGGCAGGCAATTGAGCAATTCAGGCCGCGAAACCACCTGACACTCTATGCCAAGGCAAGTCTCAATCTAATGTGCTATGCGGTCATCTAACTAGGCTCTACCTCATAGGGTGGCATGTGGGTTAAGATGGAAGGTGTAGATGACGCCGAAGTGATAAATTAACTAAGTATGATCTTGCTGCTTTGAGGGTTTTGGAATAGTGCAAGGCTAATCATTTGTACTGACATTTTTTAAACGCTCGTTGGAGTATTACTTGAGCTATTCTGCCATCTGTAATAGTAGTCACTATGCCGCAAACTGCAATGGGCAGTTTTACCCCAGCACCGCGCATCAGTTGCAAAAATCAGTGGTATCTGCGTGTAGTTGGCTGTAAGTCTACGCTTACCACATGTGACGAGCGCCTGACACCGTTGATTGTTGTCCCGTGTTTGCACGACACAGTATATAGACCTGACCGCTCACTTACGCATATCTCATCTCTTACCGTACCGCCGAATCCATACGCTCATCCACGTTATCCGTTGTCTGATCGCCTGTTAGTGTAGACTGTCTACTGTGACAGCCTTCCATTGGACCCTAGTTAGCCCTGCTTTCGAACGAAGCGTCAGTGGGTTTACTTACTGGTCTGCGCCATACTGATACCAATGACGTACACTATCCTCACGATAGCGTCAGTGAGTTCATTTTTGTCCTCCGGCATGGATATCTATACCGGTGGTTTACCACGCCGATGCATTCCGGAAACCATGTCAATTACGTCCAACAAGATTTCTCAAAGTATAAGACGGAGTACTTGAGATGCCCATGCAAAATATGGCTGCAATATTTTGCATGGGTATCTCAAGTACTTGGTTAACCAGATTCATTTGTGTGGAGCATCGATGTGGGTTTGGGGGCAACGATGACGACAAACTGATGTAGGACGTCGACAACAACAGGAAGAGAGGAGAAGATGATGCATCCTAATATTGGACTCTGAGCGGAATGTAGGGCGGGGCGAGAGACCAAGACTGGAGAATCATATTGGGGCAGAGAAGAGAAGCCGGACTGCGGGCTTGCTTGATAACAGGATGATGTTGGGAGGTCGAAACTGTGCATATTATGAGAATGAGACTCGGGCACATGATCTGCACAGCCCGTTGTCAAGCTATGAAGCGAACACAAGGTATCTACAGCATGAAGACGCGCCTATACAATGTCTCAAAAGTAATGCACACATTTGTTTGAGTTACATCTCCACAAGAACACAACATTTCTCCTTGGTGTAAAGTGTAAAGTTATAGTACATTATCTGCTCTACAAAGCTCTGTAGAGGGTGAAATAAAATGCCAAGAATTGCCCACACTATAGGAGAAATGTCAAAAATGTCACTTCAGAGATAATATATAGGGCAGTCAATTCTAAGTGGTTTTTTTTTTAAAAAAAAAAAGATTTGTTGCTGAGATATTGGCCTCACAAAATCATGTTTCTCTACTAGGGGTCGGCGATGCTGACTTACACCTTGCTTGATCCAAGCTGATCCTATTTATTTCTCTTTTTTCATGTTGCACATTGTGATTGCGGCACGCATTTATTGAATCAGATACCGTTGCTAGCTCTTTCTTTCCTAAGTCAAGTCATTACTCTCGATCACTCTTTTAACTCTCCTCTGCTTTCATCCATCCGCATCTTTTTCGGGGGTGGGAGTTTGGTAGGCGGAGGAGAGTGGTGCATTCGGATAGGACCGGCATGTGGGTCACTTCTGTACACATTTTCTTTCTGCTTTCCTGAGTCTAAGATCAGAATTTGCTTGATATTTGTGCGGAATGAATCATGAGGGGGTGTCGACTTGGGAAGGTAAGTATGATGGAGAGTGAAGTGAACTTCAACAAGTGCGTTGTGCAGCAACTTGTTGACGTTCGCTGGTTCGACGAATGTGTCATTAGTGTCGTAGACACGGAGCGGTACAGCTTTGTAATTGGCTTTGATGCCTTCTAAGTCGTTGATGTAGTCTTCTTTGATAGGCCAATGAGCCATTTCGGTGTCCATCTTGGTAGCAAGAGTAGATACGGATGGTGCTTCCCGTGGATTTTCAAGATCTTCCAAATACACGGCACATTTTACAGATGTTGGAGAATCTGGAACAGGAACATCCTGCTTTAAGATAAGTAAATTACTTTGCGGTGTTGTGTTTTGATGCTCACCCTTTTTTCAAATATGTTCTTAGCAAACCTGATCGTGTTCTCGTTGAGCATGTCTTTGCGATATTGAGATTTGGCTCCAAGATTTTGGATGTTACTGAGTAGTGAATATGTCCTCATGAAGTCTTCATCAAAGCCATTGGCACCGCGTGGTCTTTCACCGATGAATTGGAATTTAGCTTTGTCCAGAGTACCATATTGTGGATCTTGATAGCTTCCACTCGGCGAGCATTGAAGTCTGAAATCCACAACGTGCACTATGGCTATTCCAATATAGGGGTCGTCAGTGAGTTTGTCCATGTAGATGTGACCTGTACCACCCGGTGTGGGTGAGGAAAATAGACTCTGTGTGAATCAGAAGTCTAACAAGGGTGTGAGGCTTATACTCGTCCCGAGGGGATTGCTACTGGGTAGTGAGTCCTCAAATAAGTGCGAGGAAACAAAGACTAGACTCTGTCTAGCGACCCGAAGGGTTCCGGTCCTTACTAGGACTGGGAACACGAAGATGCAGAGGGTTCCCAACGAGCGGAACCCAGTGCGCGACAAGCGGAACTACGGGGAACTAATGGAACTAATGCGGAGCAAACAGGACAAACGGGGAACAAACGGAACTAATGGGGAACAAATGGAGGGAAAAGAAACTATGAGCCTGCAGGAGGATGATTGGGCGAAGTCGGACCAGGCTTGTGTCTGGTACTTGCTCCAAGTCGTCGGATCCGATGTCAGGCGTTTCAAGCGGAACTCATGGGGGCGGGAACGATGCAATGTGATCAGGAATAGATTCAGGAAGATATTTTAAACAGTGAGTGGAGTACTGGGAAGTACTCTGTAAGTTGAAGTGGAGTCGAGTCTATCAGAAGGTAAAAAAACTAAGATCCCATCTATTGCTACCTATATAGGAAGGGGTTCCGAAATGTGATATGCTACAACTGGGTGAGGCTGTGAGATAAGGAATCGGTCCCAAGTAGCGGAAGGATCCATATAAGTACCGTAACACATGGGAAATGAGATAGGGACATGTTAGTGACACGGGGAACGTAGCTAGTACTCACCAGCGAGGATGGAAGGACATGGACAGGACGTAGGAGGATGTTCCGAAGGCTGAAGGAATATAATGTGTGTGGTACGTGATTGTTCCGCTGGGTTCCGTGTAGCGGACGGGTCGGGGAAGATGCGGATGGGTAGCGGAACGCGCAGGAAAATGGTGGGAAGGCATGGGAAATATGTGGGATACAGGCCTACAGTGGGGATGTTCCCCACACCGGACGCCATTCTGCGTGTTGCGCAATTTGAGGAGAGATAGCATAGTTGGGGTTGTCTTTCATAGTGCGGTGATATGATGTGCTGTCGAAGACCATTGTGATAGTACTAGTTGAAGGTTACTCACGTCGTTTGGTATAGGGGCATACCAGTGTCGCCCCCTTTTTTTTTCAGTGACTGTGACAATTGAGTATGATGTATTTGTTTTTCTTTCTTGACTGAGATGTTAGTTGCACTCCTCATTCATTATGGATTTGCAACCCATCGACGTTACAAACATTCCTGCACATATCAGCCATATGAAAAACACAGGTACTACAAAGTACAACTTCATCACTCCGTCCACAATGAAAAGTAAGAAATTTATAGCGCAACATGACATGCACTGATCCATACCACAGTTACCGAGTACCGAGACATAGCTGCAATGATACTGGACCTGCTCGTGATAACAGACCTCATTGCAACTAGCCATACTTGTCGAATCATGCAAGAATTAGGCCAAGAGGTTATATGCAGAAGATTTAGGCATATATTGGAACCTTTTGCGGGCAATCATTTGCCGAGTTTCCTCTCAGCTCTATGGCATGGTAATGGTCTTATAACTGGATCGTCCATATGAGCGATGATGGGATACAACAATAGCAGTGACTCACGGGACCTGAACATTCTTGTCCCATATACAGGTTTTGACACCTTACACGAAACCATCGAACACACACTCGAATATACGTCCATTTCAAAAGTAGCGCATCCTGCCATTGCAGCCTCGATTGGCATATTTTGCAAATACGCATCAAAACACTGAATCATCATGCTATCCGCATCCCATAAAGACCAGAATATTCTCCACATCATTCTGAACGCCCCAACAACAGCCAACATGCTATTCATGACTACCGGAGGACTTTGTTACTTCTACCCAAATTTTTATCATGCAGGAATTGCTATTCAAAGCCACAGTGGAAATTTAGTCCCATATGACAAGAAATTGGGATGTGCCGGAGAAGTAACGGACGAATTTGAGATGCAGAGAGACATGTCCTTCCTCAACAGGACCTGCGATGATTTATGTCCCACATTTTGGCACCACGTCCAAGAAAAACATTGGCGTTTATCCGTCAATTGGAATGTAGAAGATTCAGTCACCAAAGTTTTCCATGACATTGATGTCGAATGGCGATTGAACAGAGAGTGTACAAATAGCGAATGCCCTCACTGTTTTATGGTGATGTCACAAAACTTTGAATGTGCTGGTGCCAGTAACCGTAAGTTTCTCCTTGAACCAGACAAAACACGCATGCTGACAAGCCTACACAGGTGATGATGTCAAATTTTTACCCAGTGAAATATGGTATCACAAACCAGTAAGCAGAAATCAGTCTGCTGATACCTAGCTAAAATCACCACCAGCCTTTCGTTCAACTAATTAAAGGAATATTTTATGGCGGACAATGCCACCAACCTTTCCTTGTACCAATTCCAGTAAAAGACGGTATCGATAGCCCTCCTACACTTGACGACCTTGACATCAATTACTGGGTAAAACAGTACAAGCTCTATGAGTGTACATCCACTCGACAGCACTTACGCAGGACCTTTATCACCATTCCTGGCTCTAACATGACTATCAATGGAAAATTTACTTTATATTTTGAAAGACCAGGTCATTCCATTGCTCTGAACCAACTCCTTTCCAGAATGTCGAGTATGACTGGGAGCAAAGAGACATTTCATGGAAGTATTCTAGTCATTAAGCAAACACGACATGTACCAAACCTCATAGTGAACATGACGAAACAGGATCAACTCGTTGCAAATTTCCTCATATTGAGGTACGTCTCACCTTTCTGCAAGTTCTAAATTACACTGAAGAGATACCAGTGCTTTACATTACCATATCCTAACAGATGCGTGACTTTTGCAACAGTATGTCCATGATATGAAGTATACTACGTAATGTTGTCATGGTGGAGTGCTCTCTTCGATCGTGCTACTGAGTAAGTCTCTTTGCCAACATCATATGTTTGTGGAGCAAATCTGATGGACATCAGATAGAGTTGTGGAACCACCCATATTCATCTCCTGGCTTCGGCAACTAACGATCATTGATGAACACGGTCAGTACGTTTGCAATGTAAATCTTACTTGACACTATAAACTGATTAATCGCTCTTAGACGAAAATTGATCGTGCGCCTGAGCTCCATGTCTGGCATCTTTGTTTCTCTACATGATCTGTATCTTTATAATTCTATCAGTCCATATTCTCCTCTAAAGTATCTCTTTTCTGTCAAACTCGCTAAGCCGTCCAAGCGCTGACCTTCGTCTTTGAGATCTTGCGAAGGATGTCGCGTAAACAACTCGTTTTCGAAGTCACGCAAGAGACGGATGCTCTGTCCCCCTTTGCTTCTCGACAGAGCTACATAAGCGTTAATGGGATTCAAACTGAACGAAGTTGTTTTCCCTATGTCGACGATAATGCGTTCTATGGTCTGTCCCTGTGACTTGATGTCCGTGAAAGCATATCCTGGTGTCAACGGCAGCTGATGGTGCGTTACGGTGCAGTGAGGTTTAGCATGGATCGGGAATTGATGGACAGAAGGTACTAAAGGCACTTCTCCTTCTTTGAATTCCGGGCATGATATGGATGTTGTGAAATTGAGACGGACAATCACTGCAGCTGGTGGATACTGTAGGTAGACTTTGTTGTCTTTAGGTGCATGTTTATTTGTTTGTTCTCAAGAGTCCAGCAAGATATCAACAATAGTTCTGCGCGAGCCGTTGGCCAGATTTGCTCCGGTAGCGATGTTTTCGGTAACCATCACCTTCATGCCTATTGCAAGTTGAATCTGTATCGGCAAGTGCTGGGTTTCATCGAGAGATAGCTTTGTGGTTGCAAGCCGCTGCTGCATCAATAATGGAAGACCTTTGGATGTATCCTCTGCTGAAGCGATATACAATAGCGAGCCGCTGAATTTGCAGTGCTTCATCACCGATAATGTATTCCACCTATTCCGCACACTGTTCCATGGAGTGACCAACACTGCATCGTTCCAGGGAGAAGAATTGAAATCAGGAACGCAACAAGCATCATTAGTGATAACTAGGTTCTGTATTTCTTGCAGATCACCAGCGGTACATTCTCCATCCCATGCGCGATGCAGTATACCTTCCCAGACCGTATCTTCTATCCGCATTTGCTGACGAAGACAGATGATGATATGGAACTGTTCAAACAAATGATGTCCCAGCTCGCATTTCTGATTTGGAGGAAGGTGCACAAAAAGGGTTTTTTTGATGTTACCGATCGGTCCAAATTGGTGAAAATCAGCGATGAGCAGGATGCTCAATGCTCCAAATGGGATCGCGCTGTCTGTCTCCTCTTCTGCACGAATTATACCCAGCACCTGTAAGCATTGTGTCCGGATCATTAGCTGATTGAATACTATGACTGAAAAGTGTTGTTACACTTACCTGTGACAATAGAGTGAGTTGTTCTGCTGTTAACATGCTACTTTCATCGATGACGAGCAACAATTTGTCGTCCATGTTATTGTGTCGTCGGCGAGCCATATCAGGATGTGGATGAGTAGCCCATTTGTCGGTATGGGATGTTTGATGGGGTGGCAGGCCAGCGCAAGAATGCAAAGTTGAACCTCCGATGATACAGGCTGCGACTCCTGACATTGCTGTACGTGCTAATTTTGATTTGCACCCGTGCTGAGCAAAGGTCTTTGTAATAGCGTTCACCAGTTTTGATTTGCCTGTACCGCCTTCACCCGTAACCAACATTAACAGCTGTGGACAGTGTTCTCCAGAAAGATGGGCGATTAAGTGATTGCGAACGATGGTGTGTGCGATGAGTTGTTCTCTATCCAACTCCGGGCATCACATTTGATCTTCAGGCTGTTGAGGTTGCATTTGTACAGTCGGGAGCGAAGCAGGGATAGGGACGGCACCTTGAGATGCAGTGTGTACAGAGCCGGTATCTAGTTGTTCTGTAGCTGGATTGACCCGCTCTGCATTTTCTGAATGCAGTGCAATGTCTCGCCATTCCGTGTAAATATGGACTTCATCTTCTGAAGCGCGTCAGCAGGGTTGACGTGGTGCGGTGTACATGGGTATGTCATTGAAAATGCCAAAGTCTTCAGCAATATTGATGGCGACATCAGCGTAAAGTAATTCCCGCGTAGGGTAATTGTCCTTCATCGCATTTTCAATATCTTCTTCCGTTATGTCGACTTGAGTGTCATTGGAATGTAACGGAGGTGAGTTGGATACATCTGCAGTTTCATCGGCATCGTCTGTCTCTTCGTCATGACACTCAGAAGCTTCACTCCACGCTGTTCCAAACTCTTTCCCGATGTGATTTTCCCGTGCTTTATCAGAGCACTCATAGAAGTATTGAATGTTGTCTATTGCTTTCAGAATCTGGGGTGAAGCTGTTTTGGAAAATGCGAGAAAGACTTTGGTAAACGTCAAGTGAGGGGGCTTGAGATTGAGCAACGATCTCCAAGGTTTGAACAGAGCCAGCATAGACGCGCAATATAAAGGATAAGACTGCTCGTCATTTCGACGTGGCAGCCATGGACCAGGAAAATACGGCATCGTTTCGTGATTGTCACTGCGTAGTACACGACAGTGATTGTCGTGTCCGGAAGACGACATGTATTGAATTCGATTATTGGTTTTCCATCGAAGCGATGCTGGCTCTTTGTCGTTTGATACGACTACATCATAGGTATTGAGGAAATAATCGATATAACTGAAGTGTTCTAACACATCACCACGATCGATATATTCTCAGATTTGGTTGATGCTACCAATCCACGCGGAGCAACTGAGCATGACACTCAATCCCGATTCAGTCCTCTCACCTGGGCTCAAAGCTTCGTCTCTAGCATGCTACGCAGACGAGATGGATTGAACCAGTTGCATGTGCCACCAATAGTCGACGTCCCGTTAACAGCGGGCAAGCCTGTGAACTTTTTGGCTTCTATGTTCTTTATCACTGTCTCAGGTTGACGTAGAGGAACTATCACGCAAGAGGGAAGAAAGGTGCGAGCTCCTCTCGACCTCCCAGTCTCCATACTATGCAACAACACAGCGAAGCGACCCAGAACAATCTGTCATCATTACGGCAACCACCCGCCACTGCCACGGTGTCCACGATGGCTCCTGCTGGCACTGCAGACGCGACTGGAATAATCTTGCAACCTGACATCACCATAAGACGGGCTGGATGGCGGGCGCGTTCTATGCTGTGAGTTTGTTGCATACCTATTTAACACCCAGACCGTCAACACTAGGAGGCAACTTGGCGGCTTTCGTGCACCATTGGCAATATTCTCTGTTGTCTCATAATTTGTCCATTGCTGGAACATTAAGACACCCTATCGTCATTTACAGGCTAGTTAGAGATGAACGTGACCAATGGTCACACCACATTGCTTCATTAATCCGGAAAAATAGTCTTACTCTACCACCGCTAAACCTCATGCCCCCAGACGTATATCTTTCAAGAGCTTGACTTGATTGTGGTTCAGGTAGCATTCACAGTGCGTCTTGCTCTTGATGTTGATACTGGATTTGCATACGCACTAATGTTCAAACAAAATAAATTTGATCCAGCTAGCCCGTACACAAGATGATCATTTTCGTGAAGCACGATTCAGAGCGAATGAGATAAATCGGACGTAGTGTTGGAGCAGGGGAATAGATGTGTGGAACAGGTAGTGTTGTGGGCAGAACAGGGCAGCCATTACACACGGAAGTGTTATTTGCATCTTAGGCGCCACTTGGTGAAGTGATTTGAAATTGCCGGTACGGTGGAGCGGAAATGGCCACTGGTCTGGACACCTGCCCCAGTCAAGACAGTATTGCAAAGTTGACGCTCGACGAGCTCCTTGGTTTTTCGTTTTCCAACCAACAAACTTCAGGCTATGATGTCACGGCGATCTTGGGTCAGTCCTGGTGTGGCCTACCTCATACATGGCTTGCTTTCCATCGTCTTTCCGGCAGCTTCTTCCGTCATTATCGTAGTACGGCTGGCCTCTCTAGAAGGCTTTCGAGTCTCTCCATGGCTTATGTCTGCGATGGTTTTGAGTGCAGCGCCTCTGGGGTTCGCGGCTTACGTTCTTGCGGATGGGAGATTGCAGCAACGAAAGGCCGATCGACTGGGTGCCAGACTCATTCCTCGTGTCCAGGGAAAATGGCCTGGAAATCTGGACAAGATTGTGAACACGGTCCTGAGATCCGAGAACGAATACCTTGGTACAGTTTTCTTTTTATGCATCCCATGCTCGTGCTTTACAGAATCATACCGATATCCACTGGTAGGTCAAGATGATCTGAACGAGACAAAGATACTCGGGCCGACTATCAATTCTCGTTTGCTTTGGGAGGATATCATCCTGACCACGGAGCCGCGACACATCAAGGTACACTCCAAGGCATACTTGAAGATATTATAATCAGACTCCACATAGACCATTCTCGCGACCGACTTTGATAACTACGTCAAAGGTGTGCACCATAAATGCTGTTTGTTTACACGTACACATGTGCTTCGATGCAGGTCCCAAGCTCAGAGAAGCTGCCGACTCCGTCCTTGGAACAGGCGTCTTCAACTCAGATGGTAAGTGCATCGACAAGCGAGTTATGTTGCGACTGATTGATCGATTGGCTGTGCCACCAGGTGAAACATGGAAGTGAGTGATGGATTTGAAGATTGCCTCCGATGGGGAATCTTAGGTGCTTCTAGGCTTCACCGCACCATGACACGACCCTTCTTTACTCATGATCGAATAAGTCACTTTGAGATCTTTGACCGTCATGCGGACCACGCTATCGCTTTGGCGAAGGAACGTTTCCGAATGGGCGTGGCAATTGACTTCCAAGTACGGTTTCTTCAAGCTGGCATCTTGTCTTCTTTTGCTGAAACCTACAACAGGATCTCATCTCCAAATTTACGCTTGACTCGGCATCGGAGTTTCTATTTGGACACTGTATCGATACACTTTCCGCTGAACTTCCTTACCCCTGTCACGCGACAGAATCCATAGACGCCATTCAAGAAGCCAACACGGCTGCCGCCTTCGCAAATGCTTTCTCTCAAGCTCAGCATGTAATCAATCGTCGTGTTTCAATCGGGCAGACCTGGCCACTTGCTGAGATTCTTGCTGACAGCACTGCGCAACATATGAAAGTGGTACATGCATTTTTAGATCCGATCCTCGAAGACGCTCTGGAGAAGCGTTCAACGACTGCCGAATTAGACCGAACTGAATTTGCGGACCAAACCCTTCTGGACCATCTCGTAAATGCTACGTCTGGTGAGATATCATGGAACAAGGGAATTTTTGTAGTTGAAATATTCTTTACAGATTTCAAAATCATTAAAGATGAGATATTAAATATGTTACTGGCCGGAAGAGATACTGTAAGCTTGCAATTGACTTTGAGCCGTCCGGGTCGGTAACAAACAATAACAGACGGCCTCGACACTAACATCGGCTATTTATCTGCTTGCGATGCATCCAGAGTTCCTTATGCGACTCAGAGAGGAAATCGTCTCGAAGTTTGGGGCTAACTCGCAGGCCTACATATGATGATATCAAAGAGATGAAGTACCTTCGGGCAGTCCTAAATGGTGCGTACTCTTGTATCGTGCCGCTCGTCGATGTTGCTAACCGACTTCAGAAACAATGCGCCTTTTCCCCGCAGTGTAAGTGATTAAAGCTGGGTTTAGAAGTATTTCATCATCGTACCACAAACACCTAGCCCCTTTAATACGAGGTACGTTCCTAGGCTGCGCCGAAGATCATAGGCTAGAGCCACCTGCTCAGGGAAAGCGTACATGACACCACATGGACATCTCCCGAACCTGGGAAGAAGCCACTGTTTGTCCCAGGGGGGATCTCGTATGTATCTCATTCGATCGTTCGGATTCATAGTATGACTGCTTGAACAACTTTAGGATCAGCTATTCAGTGTTCCTTATGCACAGGAGAACAGATCTATGGGGACCAGATGGTAAGGAACTTGAACTTCGTCTACATATCAATTAATTCAGTCGAATCCATGCTCTAGCGCTGGAGTTCGATCCGGATCGATGGCTCGACGAGCGCGTGAATAAATACCTGATTCCCAATCCCTACATTTTCCTACCATTTAATGCAGGACCTAGAATCTGCTTAGGACAACAAGTACGTCGCTCATCACATTATTCATTGTTGCCACTTATCTCATACCTCATCTCGTACTTCAGTTTGCCTACAACGAAATATCGTTCATGCTGATTCGTTTACTGCAAAACTTTTCCGCGATTACACTGTCACCAGAGCCCGCAATGTGCCCACCTGCCTGGTGGGCTGAGAAAGACGGTCGGCAGGCAATTGAGCAATTCAGGCCGCGAAACCACCTGACACTCTATGCCAAGGCAAGACTCAATCTGATGTGCTATGCGATCATCTCACTAGGCTCTACCTCATAGGGTGGCATGTGGGTTAAGATGGAAGGTGTAGATGACATCGAAGTCATAAACTAAATAAGTATGATCTTGCTGCTTTGAGGGTTGTGGGACAGTGCAAAGCTACTCATTTGTACTGACATTTTTTGCTTTCTATTTTTCGTTGTATGTAATTGCAAACGCTCGCTATACTGTGTAGAGTATCACTTGAGCTCGGAGTTCCAGGAAACGCTTGTCATGTACCCTACGTCCTTCCATGATAATCGCGACATCTCGTGAACTCCAAGCACTGGAGCATCGCACTCTACCGTCATTTTGCTCTCCATTATGTTGCGATTGCAATTATACCCCGCGGTGACGTAGTTGTCCTCCAGGATTCAGACCTCAGATACAGTGTCGTTCAGGCTCTGGATTATAAAAAGTTCAACAGGTACTAGCTGCCACTCTGCATCCATCATAGTAATCGCTATGTCATGGACTCCAATCATTACATAGTTGCAGCATCACTCCATCACCGCGCATAAGTTGCACAAATCAACGTTCTCGTATATGCCTGTAGTTCGCCCCTAATTGGGTTAGTTTCTGTCTGCGGGTTTACTTACTCTGCGCCGTACTGATGCCTACATATATGGTCGTTGACCACGCCGCGCGTTCTGCAAAACATGACAATTACGTCCAGCAGGTGTCCAGCACAATTTCTCAAAGTATAAGACGGAGTTAAGATTCACATGCAGGAAACAACAGTTATTTTCTGCAGGGCATCTCAAATACTCCGTAAACCAGATCATCTATCTTGGTGGAGCATCGATATGGCTATTGCTACGGCGACGACAACAAACTAATGTAGGATGTTGATGACAATGGCCGGAGACGAGAGGATGATGCATCTGGCTATCCTATTGGACTCTGAAATGTGGTGCGGGGGTAGAAACCAAGACCGAAGAATCATATTGGGGCGGTGAAGAGAGCGGGCTTCCTTGATAGCAGGACTGCCATGATGCGATGCTGGGTGTCGATGTCGATGAAGAAACTGCATATTATGCAAACGAGACTCGGGCGCTTGATCTGCACAGCCCTGCACACTCGTGGTCAAGCTGTGAAACAAACACAAGGATACAGCATAAAGACGCACCTATAGTGCACTTGAACAGCGATCTCCCTCCTAACTCAATTC